ATTCCATCCATCTGTCAAGCCACTTATTTAAAAAGGCTTGAATTTGCAACTTTATGAACAACAAGACCACTGTTGCTCTTTTTATACAAAGCACATTCGTCAGTATGAAAAGAAACAGTTTTTTTTTTTTTTAAGGGGCACTATGTACAAAGTTGACAGGTAGTTCATAACGCATCCAAGAAACAACAATCTCACATATGCAGACCACGGCAATATTGGGGAAAAATGTTTACTTTCACAGCAGTGAACAAATAAGTTCTTTACTAAACTGTCATTATCCAGGATCACTGTTTGCACATACCCAAATAAAAAAACGTGGGTAAATGGTGAGACTTGCGCCAAACCTAAGGCTAGGACAGCTGTTTTCAATTCTGGCAATATTGACAGATACAAAAAATCCAGATACGACCTCAGGAAAGCCATCAAAATAGTTAAATACAACTATAGAGTAAAATAAGTAATATTATCATGGATGCAACACACAGAACATGTGGATTGGTATACGCACCATTACAGACTACAAAACGCAACCCAGCTATATCACACAACAGTCTGCCTCTCTTCCTGATGAACTAAATTCATTTTATGCTCGGTTTGAGGTCAGTTACGCAGATCCAGCCAGGAGGATTCCAGAAAACCGAGGCGGAAACCCACTGATCATATCCAGAGCGGATGTGTGTAAGGTTTTTAAAAAGATCAATCCACACAAGGCTCCTGATGGTATCCCTGTCCGTGTTCTAAAGGGATGTGCACACCAGCTGGCACGTCTTCTCAGACATATTCAATCTTTCTCTAGCTCAGTCTATAGTTCCTTTCTGCTTTATAAAAACCACCATTATCCCTGCTCCTAAGAAACCCAGAGTCAATTGCCTGAATATCTACTGCCCCGTTGCACTCACATCAGTTATCATGAAGTGCTTTGAGCGTAGCGGTTGGTCAAAGCATACATCGCCTCCTCACTGCCTGACACACTAGATCCACTTCAATTGGCGTATCACCAGAACAGGTCAACAGAGGATGCTATTGCCATTGCCCTCTCATACCTGGATAAGAAAGGAACATATTTGAGAATGCAGTTTGTTGATTACAGCTCAGCATTACAATAGTGCCCTCCAAGCTTGTCATCAAGCTCCAGGACCTGGGACTGAACACCTCCCTTTGTAATTCGATCCTGGATTTCTTGACAGAACTTCCGCGGGTGGTGAGGGTGGGAACCAACATATCCTCGACCCTGACTCTAAATACTGCTTAGCCCTGTCCTCTACTCCTTATCTACCCATGATTATGTCATCAGGCGTAACTAAAACTCTGTCATTAAGTTTATGGATGAGACAACAGTCATCGGCCTGATCACAAATGGTGAAGAGTCTGCGTACAGGGAGGAGGTTGAAACCCTGGCAGGATTCCTGGGAGTTAACATCACAGAGGACTTAACCTGGACCCACTACACCAACATCGTGGTCAAAGCAGCACAGCAGCACCTATTCTTTCTCTGCAGGCTAAAGAAGTTTGGCATGCCGTCACATATTCAGGCCAGCTTCTACAGGTGCACTATTGAGAGCATCACTGCCTGGTATGGGAACTGCTCCGCCCGGGATCCCAAAGTACTGCTGAGGGTGGTGAAGTCAGTGCAGCTCATTACCGGCTGTGAGCTACCAAACATCCAGGATGTTACTCAGCTAGATGTCTTAAGAAGGCCAGGTCCATTCTCAAGGACTCCAGTCATCCCAGTCACACACTGTTTTCACTTCTACCATCTGGTAAACAGTATCGAAGCATTCGGTCAAAGTCCAACATATTACGGAACGGCTTCTACCTCCAGGCAATAAGACTGCTAAATAGCCCAGCTGCAGTTCCTTCAGCAAATCACCATAATGGGTGTTTTATGGTATTTGGCATACTGAACTACTTGGACATAATGTATTGAATTTGTTTTCTGAGTCTGGTCGGGTGGGTGGATGTTTTACAGTTCAATATAGGGTCTTTTTTTGGCTGTGATGTCACTCTGTGACGTAAAAAAAAACGTGTCATCAAGCTATAACCTATATAAAAGGAGCGCCAAATATAAATGGCTGACCCTGCACTCTGGCCCCAAGCTTCTCCCTGTCTGTCTTATGGAGAGCAAGCTGGGATATGCAAAAAGACAAATTCCTAATACAAGAAATTGTATATGGCCATTAAAGTAATCTTATCTTGTCACAGAAACCAGCACAAACTAACAATGAGGTGGGTTTCATCATTTGTGCTGTTTGTAGGGGGGGCAATTTCACAGAGCTCTCTACTGGCTCTTAAGTAGCTTTTCAGTCAGTGAACACTAAACTTGGTTTGTGTCTTTGTAGTTTCCCCTTGTAGGCCATTCACTCTCTTAAAGCAAGTGGATAGGGAATTACTAGGAACTCTTTGAAAGTGCTTGCAGTTTTCTAGTTGTTTTTATAATGTTGTAATCAATCTATTTAACATCCTCCCAATAAACCTATTGAGAATTACTGAAGTCTTGTTTTAACATTCCATATCTATAGTCAGCATCTTGTGTGCAGAACCTAGTGCTAAAGGATGAAGGAATAAAACTTCTTGAACCCAGACACAAACATTATGATTAAGTCACAAGCATTTTGCTACTGGGCAAAATCAATGCATTAGGTCAGCAATCAAATGAATATATCTTCTAATGTATTAGTCATAGTTTTAGTATCTTTGTGGTCTATTTCAAGTTTATGAATTAATTAATTGTTAAGGACTGCTTTTTAGATTCCTCTTAACAGTTTTTTTTCTGAGTGAAGATGCGACTGGGATAGGTTGCTTTTTCTCCTGCAGTTGCCTTGTGCAATTCAAGTCAACAAATCTAAATTCGCTTTCATCGTGTTTATGTATTGTAGGTGTTTTCACAGTGTTCTCTAGAACTGAGAGCTACAGTGATCAGCTAATATTGAAGGTGACTGATACTTGTTCAGACTGTAGCATCAACACAAGTTGCATTCTGCAACAGTATTGCAGTACTGTGTTAATCACACCAGACAGGTGCCTTGTAATTCCTTCAATCCATCTTTTGCAAATGTTGTCACTCGCCTGCTTTCTCTCTTCATGAAAATTCATTTTCAGGATATTTAATCACCAGCTACAGTATCATGGCACCTAAAGCAGGTAATGGCACAAAGTGCTTTAAAGCTAAGATACTGATTTCCATGACTCTGGCCAAGCAGCTTCATTCATTGATTATACAGTTTTCCCCCTAGTATAGCCAAATAATTATTTTTGTTACAACTAGATATCTTGATTTTTCTTTGTTCTGTTCTTTCAGTGACTGGATTTCTGTTGCTTTCATTTTAATATTCACTTTGCAAGTGCTCACAGCTTATAGTGATAACAGGTACCTAACTGTTTCACATCTCATCTAAAGCTTTCACATCTCATCTCATTCCTGAGCTAGGAATGATCACCAAAAATTGGATTTCAGATTTTGATTCATGAGCATTACCCTTATATACTTACAGCTACACAGATGGCAGATTTAATGAAGAAAGCTGGTTTTCTTGCCTGTCTCAAAGTATCTTAAACTCTTTAACTGGTTATATCTCAGAAGGGGATAAATTAAATTGGTGCTGTTTTTCAGTATCAGTTTTCATTACCTGAATGAAAGTTTCTGTTATTTGTGATCACAGGACTGCAGCCTCTTATTGCTAATTTGAAAGTCAGTCTTTCCACAGTGGCTAACATCATGACAAAATTGAGTTGTGCCAACTGTGAACAAAATCTGTTTTTTGTTGGTTTGTGCCTTACTGTTGTGAATGTGCAAAAAAGCTAAACTGTTTCTTTAAGATATGTGAACTTGTTCCATGTTTTTCTGCTCCCAAGAATTCCTTGAAGATAATTCCTGTATTGAATTTAGAGTGGGAAGTGTTAAAAATGATGCTAAGAGTTCCTATGTGTTAGAAAGCTTTCTTGATGTGCAGAAATCACAAGCTCAGTAGATACTTATGCTGACTAGCAGTTTTAAGTATAGCTAAAAAACTGATATTGAAATATCACATTAAAGAAAACTGCTTCTTTGCAAGAGATTATTCAGTGAAAGGAACAGAACTTTTAATTTAACATTTATAAATACAAGAAAGCTGTTCATTTCAGTGGTGACGTACTTGTCATACATTAGTAAGTTATTTCTCTGTTTTCATTAAACATTGATTAGTGAATGATTTGATATAGGTGTTATGATTGATCTTTCTCTTACTTGAATTGAGTCAGGGGAGAAATAAATTGGTCATAGTAAACATTTCCATCATTAAAATGTCAGATCCATTCTGTTATGAATGACTGATAATTCAGCTGTTCACTATGTAGATTCTAATTGCACACTCTTGTAGCTAATTAAGATATAAAGAGTTCGTAGGTGATGAACAGCACTCAGTTTTCTTTTCCTTTCAGGGTCATTTGGATTTGTGACAATTTAATATTATGAACCCAGATTTTTTGCTATCAATATAGTTTTTTAAAAAGCTAATATATAATGAACCAATGCCATGACAGGATACAAATATGAATACAATTGGAGCTGTGGATTATAGTGTAGCATTACTTGTACTGTACATGACTGATCAATAAATCAACTATATACCTTAGTTAATGCTTGTGTTAACACCAATTTATTCTTAACTGCAAACCCTTTAATGACAAAAATCAATAGACTATAAATAGGAATTTACTAGTACAATGCATTCTCTCGTGCTTTTCAAGCAATGCATTCACTCGTGCTTTTCAAGCAATGTATTCTCTCGTGCTTTTCAAGAGAAATTATGAATATATGCTTTTGTCCCCACTTTTTCAATTGTTTTAATTATTTTCACATAGTTCTGTTCTATGTGGTGTTACGTACTTTTCCCAACCTGCTAAATTTCACAGACTCACTAACATCCTTTATAACCTTAATTTGGGTACCTTATTGTACTAAATAAATTAATCCCCTGGGAATTTGTCTCGTTAAGTGATTTTTTTCTTTTCCAATGCAGCTGTTCCACCAAACATCGCTGACCTGAAGAACTTGGAGGTGCTAAATTTCTTCAACAACCAAATAGAGGAGCTTCCCACACAGATCAGCAGTCTTCAGAAACTCAAGCACCTCAACCTGGGGTGAGTTCTCACAGCACACAACACAACCTTTACACTCTTTAGTTTTCTTTCTGCAGGTGAGTTGAAAATGGGTTATAAGAGGATGCACAAAGACCATCTGACACGGTTGCTAGAGAGTAGCTGAACATTAACCTGTCAAATATTATACCGGAAAACCTACCAGTGAAAGCTGGTGTTGGCATTCATGATTAAAAGTATAATTAGATGATTTTTTAATCCAATTTTAAGATTACATTATTTTTGGCAAATATACAATGTAGGTTCAAGTTAATCAACTGCGCTTCTGGATTTTTTAATAATGGATTATTATTCCTCCCTTAAGTAAAAATGTGTGCTGTATAAGTAAAAAGGGACTAAGTACTACACTGATGTTCTGTACCTGGTTACAGGTCAGGTCAGTCTAATGTCTAATCACATTAGACACATACAGTTTTTAGCGCTATAACAAAACTGTTTGGCTCCATGATCGTTTTTGAACAAGGCAGAAATTAATTTAAATTAATTAACAACTGTCTTTGAATGGTGCACCCAACTGATAAGCTACTTCATTACCTTGACCTAGAGATGGGCGATAATTCGCTAACGATAATTATCGCGATATAATTTTCCTCGATTTAATTTTAACAAAAGTTTGATAAATGTTTGATATATATGTTTATGCTTTGCGCATGATATGTGCACGCGCACAAAATACTGAGCGAGGGCGGGTGCGTGTTGCAGACCAGGCAGCTAACAGATTTGTTTAATGTTTCTGCTGTTTGGAAACTGTTTGTTGTGTTCTTAAAATAAAGAGGTGTTTAATTTACCAATTAACTGTCTGGTTTCTTCAACTTTCACTCAGGAGAAAAAATCTGCCTTTAAACTTGAAAGAAATAATAATTTGACATTTATCGCGATAAATATCTATATCGACTGATACAAAATTTTTATCGTGATAATGTTTTTGGCCAAATCGCCCAACCCTACTTTGACCCCACAATGACATTAAAGAATTCAGTGCTGCTGGCTCCATCACAGTCCAGGAGGACAGGTCAAAAAAGCTCTATAGAAGTACCTCTGAGAAGTAACTTTGCTGTATGTTGGAAGTGATTTTTCCAATTTTATTTCAATTCAATTCAGTATATTTTTATATAGCATCTTTCACAACAAGATTGCCCCAAGGTGCTTAACAATGCATGTAACCATACATGTTGTGAATAGAACAGAAAAGACCAGAAGACAATGGAGGAGAGGAACCAAGAACTCCTTAGTAAGGAGAAGAAAAAAAACCCTAGGGGTTCAAGGTCAACTGGCTGCCCAACCCCTTTAGGAATGCTAACATTATACAATTAAAAAAATAAATAAATGAATGAGGGTATTAATCCATCCATCATGTCTTCTGTATGTCAGTACTCCATGCAGATCTCTGTAGACCAGCAAAATCCTCCTAAACGATAGCTACTGTATATCAAAGATGTCCCTCTTGGATCCATGGCAGTGATGCATCATCCAACTCGGATGGTGCCCAGCCCGGGCATCATCCGGATATGTGGGGAGGAGAATAGGATAGTTTGGTCAGAACAGAGGTATCTCCCTGATGGGCCAACACAGAGACACACAATGGCATGTACAGCAGCACCAGCAGCCATGGTTGCAGCAGGCTGTAATGTAAGATGTGAGTACACTAGGCTGAAGTAATAGGTCTTCAGTCTGCATTTGAAGTATGTTTGAAAGTATATTGAAAGAAATATGAAAATAATTGACAATAAGTAGAAGGCTCATGAAACAATTTGAATTTTGAATTTTAGATTTCAAGCATTTTTTCTTTTGCTTTTTCATGTATCTGAGGGTAAATGTGAGTGATGTGAATCATTGTAGAACTGAAATGTTTTCTTTTGCCTGTTCATGCTGACAGTTACAGATTTTTTAAAACACTTTTAATGATAATTGTTTCTGGATATGAAGCTGTAAGTATTGTGCTACATCATAAAGTGCCAGTTTGTTTCATAGGAATAGTGAGATATTTACAGTGTCTGTGATGTAGTATAATATTCTACAACCAGAGCCTTTTCTGTTACCCCAGTAATTCTTTACTCTTTTCACATCTGGGCGAAACACATGAATATAATTGGATTTAAAATAAAAAGTTTAAAACTGTTTTCTCAATACAGTTCCATTAAGGGAACATTTAGATGGAAAACGTTATCAAGTACATAGCATTGTTGGTTCTTTCCTGTACTTGGAAAAAAAAGGTAACTTCTTTCCTTCCTTCAAATGGGTAATAGTGTAACTGAATGCCTTGGAGTACACTTAAAAGGCTGAGAGGTTTGAGACAAAGGATGTAGTACAATGTCATTTAGGATTAGGGCTTTTTTCTTCTTTCTAAATTGTATAATCTTCAATCTTAAAAGTATCTTTCAGAATAAATAACATATTTCATTGATTTGCTGTCAGATATGCCATTTTGGGCCATAATCTTAAACCATAAGCTTTGCTATGGTATTCATAGCACTGTAATCCGTTGAGAATGTCTGCTTGATCATATTTGTCAAAACCTTTCCCACTGTATGTAATTGCTTTTTTAATGCAAATTCTGAGTCAAACAGGTTGGTTATATTTTTCCTAATAACGAAATTGAGCAGCATACTTTTAGAAACCTCTGTCTGATTCAATTTTTTTAGCTGTGATTGAATCAGGAAGAACACATTTTCAAGAAAGTGATTATTAGTTTTCTTTTAAATGCTTAATAGTACTTTAAGATCATAAAATTGAGTGCGTTCCACATGACCGACTCAAATAGAATTCTAGCCTGTATAGAATACACCTTATAACATAATAGCAGCAAGAAAGAGAAACTGGTTATTATCACCAGTCTATATAACATCACTTCAGTGGGGAAAACAAAGTTTAACTATCCTAGAGTTTTGTCAAACAGTTCCACGACATATGATATACTCTCATCTTTGAACTTCATTTTAAGTCAGTTCAGCGCAGTAATGATGTGAAATTATTTTATATTTAAATAACTTATTTCAAATTGTAAAGAGTAAAGAAGCAACATCAGAACAACCAAAAACACACGTCCCTCTAAGCTTTGACCCCTGTAATTAGTATGAACAGGCTGAGCACTCTGCCACGAGGCTTCGGTTCCCTGCCTGCGCTGGAAGTCCTGGACCTGACGTACAACAACTTGAATGAGTCTTCACTGCCAGGAAATTTCTTCTATCTCAGTAAGTAGAAGTAGTTCTCCGTGCTGCTCACAATCCCAGTACAGTGCGAGCAGTGTGGCTTCAGTTACGGCTGCCTGTAGACATTCATTAAGACTCGTATATTTTAACATTACATTGGTCTAGTGAGTAAACACTTAAACTTTTCCTCCAGTGCTAGTTTAGTATCACACCCTTTGACACTTGGGGATGATTTTTATATCCAAGTAAACTAAAACAAGTACATGGATACACCAGTGCAGATCAATATACTCTCACTAATAGACATGTAAACTGTAATATGGGGTGCTTTTGTATTTAGTGAATTATCTGTACTGGAGCAATGAACATACTGTACAGTATATACCGAATGACGGTCGGTGGTGATCACAGTGATAAAGCACCCTCTGGTGTGTACTGTTAAATGTTTACCTTGGTCACATTTGTATGTGATGCAGATTTCATTGCTTCATGATTCACAAATTTGTTATTTCAAGCACAAATGTAACCTTCCAGATTTACTGCAATACTAAAACACTCACCTGCCCCCTCCCCGAAAATAAGTGTTTATTAGTTGACCCACATTAGCATCTGTTTCCGACCCTTATAAAACATATGAAGACAAACATGTTTGTGCCTGCTCCAGGTTTTTTGCATTTTCACAGTTGTGGCAAGGCAGGATGTCTATGTACTGTATATGGAAAAAAGTTTCAATGACTGTTCGGAAGCAGGGAATATACTATTCACTAATTTCAGTCAGGTACCTGGTGCGTTGTCACATTAAAAGGTATTATAACTACAGATTACTGTGAGGTTTTGACTCAAGCTTTGGTGACAGAAATACAAAAGGATGTTTGTGTACTTTTTGATGCACTAACTTGGATTTACTCTGATAAGCATTTCCTTTTTCCTGTGTCAAATATTCTAATGAGCCAGTATTGTGCTTCTGATATCCATATATGATCTAATAACTGCCATTAAATGGAAGGTAGTTGTTTAAAAAATAACTGTTTCTTGAGTTCAGTATCAACACCCTTAATGGAATGCAGTACTACTAGAGTAACCTCAATGCAAATGTAATCAAAATAATTCAGCCTTTATCTTCTTGGCTCGCAATTTATCAAGGATGTATGATAGTCTCCTAACTACTGTGCACTGACATTGCTTATGATGCTGAGAGGTGTTAAAATCAACTGATTAATGAACACATTTAGTACAAAGTAATCAAAGGAACAAACCTGCAGAAATATCACATTGCATATTCACTGAAGGTGGTATGAAAAATGGAGAGCGTTTATTCTTAACATCAAGAGATTAACCATAAACTAGAGGATGTTTTGCATATTAACTGAAAAATTACATTCCAGATCTTTTACTTATTAATCAGAGATGAACATCCTTTAGTCTTGAGCTGTACTGTCTTGAATGAGATCGCAACCAGCCCTTCTCTTTTCGACAGTTCCATTTTGAGAGATGCCAAAGTAATCTGGCATATGTGTACTGTTTATTATCCCCGTCAATTTGTTAACCATTATAGCTTCAATAAACTAATATCCCTTATACTTGAATTTTGACCTAACCTAAAAAAATCCCAAAAATATTCACTTAGATTAAGATCACTTGACAGGGGAAGCCACTGCATTAAGCTGAATTCAATATAATTTTCCTGGAACCTTTCCAGGATTTTCCTAGCCTTGTGGAATGGAGATTTATCCTGCTGAAAAGCCCATTCGCAGATGGGTACACTGCAGTGATGAAGGGATGCACCTGGTTATGTGCAGATATCCTGTGGTATTCTTTTATTCTGCCCATCCCCCCCTCTGAATTGCACTCACACAATCTGCAGGTACAGTGGTGAGACGAAGTTTGTGAACCCTTTGGAATTATATGTATTCCTGCAGTTATTGCTCCTAAAATGTGATCTGATTCTCATCTCTGTCATAATAATAGATGAGCACAATCTGATTAAACAAATAACACACAAACAGATGTACTTTTTCATGTCTATATTGAACACCTTGTTAAAACATTTACTGTCTGTGCTGGAAGAAGAATACAAACCTTCTTTAGCGGCAATGACCTCAGCCAAATGTTTTCTGTAGTTGCTTATCAGTCCTACACATCGGATTGGGGGGAATTTTGGCCCCCAAAATCTAAATGTTTCTCATCTTTTAAAACTATTTACATGTCTACAAAGTATTAAAATCTGCTAAATATTTTTCAGAAACTGAGCATTTCACGCTCCACCAACATTTATTTATAAGAAGATAAGAAAAGTTTAATTTACACATGCAGAAAATGTAGAAAATGCTCAACCCCTGGACAGACCAAGAAGGCAATTGAAGGCATCACCATTGGCTAACATAAAACAATTCCCTTTCAATGTTCAATTTTTTATTAAAGTATTTTGTGTGAAGAAAAAAAAATGAACTGGAACAGTCCCAAGTTTACTCATAATAAAATAAAATGGATTAAACATATTTGCAGTTACTACTGAATGGTTATTAGTAATGTATTAGTTAACAATAGTATAACAATATAAATACTTGTCTTGTTATCAAAGGTTGGAATATTCTATGGGAATATAGATTTGGGGAGTAACCTCACTCCCCTGAAAAACAATTTCTAATATCTCAGAAACCAGAGAAACATAAACTCTGTTTTCTGTGATACTAGAGATTAGATATCCAAAACAAAATATCCAAATAAAATTAATTTGGTGTCCCTGCAGTTCATATTCATACTACAGAATCCTTGTTGAGTACATTTCCAGGACCTAGGAAATGACCTGATCTGTACCACGTACAAATATGCACACTTCACCAGCACACAGGGAAACTCATATAAGTAGACAATCCCCTCTCTACCACAAACCAATCACTTCAAACAGGAGCAGTCATGACACGGAGATGAACAAAAACAGACATGAGCTGCCACAGATCTATTAAGGGCTGTCCTCGTACATTGTCGATGTGAGGATCAGAAGAGACTCTTTGGGAAGGTTCGCTTACAGCAGTACTGTAGTGGAATATGCTGTCCTCTATCAGTGCATTTGCTGTGAGGCAACAACCCCCCACAACCGAATTATACTGTACATCAATTGTACACCAGCCCAAAGACCGTGACAGCCCATCAAGTTGTATGACTAACAAGTCATTCTAATGGCCTAGAGCAGTGGTTCTCAAACTTTTTGGACCAAGTACCACCCCTGATCAAACCAAAGCATCCAGGTACTACCTACAAGTCATCTTCTCATAGGAACCACAGAAAATCTCAATGACCAACATGAATGCATGCACGCACGTGCATAAACACACACACACATATAATAAATATAATAATAATGGGAACAGCAACAATTAAAAAAAAAACAATAAAAAAGCACTTACCATTTCATTGAGAGGGGTGAGCCTGTTTTGTCGAGCAAAGCAGATGTGAATTCATTGTTCGAGCCTTGATACAGTTCACAACAGAGTCTAACAGATTTTAAATCCTCAGGCATTTTCTTGACTGCCAAGGCCTCGCAGTGGATGCTGCCGTGCGTCCACTTAATATCTGGCGCAACCTCTCCAATTCGTGCAACTACACCGCTGTGTCGGCTTGTCATCGCCCTAGCACCGTCTGTACAAACTCCAACACATTTTATCCAGTTGATGCCATTCTCCTCGATAAATTCATTCAGAAGCTGAAATATGTGCTTTCCTGTAGTTCTTGTTGGTAGCGGCTTACAGAACAGAAAGTCCTCGTGGGACATGTCCTCAAACTCGTATCTCACGTAGAAAATTGACCAAATCAATGACATCTACAGACTCATCTAATTGCTGTGAAAAGCAACTGCTCATCGTAACGCGCTTTATCAGCATACTTTTGATATCATCAGCCATATCAATAATTCTACGAGTGTGTCTTTCTAAGGGGGCAGCAGGTTGAGCTGTTTAGCATCTTTTTCTCCACATATAATACGTGTCGGCTCTTTTGCCAATGGTAAACAAAGTTCTTCACAAATAGTGTGGGGCTTACCTGCTTTAGCAATCTGCAAGCTTGCATTTTTACCTTTTTCTATTTCAGGAGTCTGTCTCAGAAGTTAAAAGAAGTTTTTATTTAATGCGCATGGGAGTGAAACTTTGACGCTCAGTGCATTTTTCTCAAATTAACCGAGAACAGTCCATAAATATTTTTCTGTTATCTATCACCCTTTTCTGTGCTCACAAGATTGCCAGTGTTCCAAAACCATGCACATTCTCCTACCTCCCCATTTGCTGGAGATAACTTTTTTTAAATATAATTGGCCACTTACGTTCGTAGCACGCATTCCTATACACTAGTAGAGAATTACATCGTAGCTATTGTGTCCACTCAAGTATTGGCGCATATGCTGTATCATATTACGTAGGCTGCGTATTTGACACAGAAACTAGTTTTATTCAAATAGAGAATATGAAACCCGTCCCAATTTTTCAGTGCACACAACACATTTCCAGGGTCATCTGGCGTACCACCTGGGGGCGCTCTGCAGTTTAAAAATCACGGACCTAGAGGAAAAGACGATTGATCAGGAGATTCAGGCATTATTGAGCACATTCCTAAATGCACTGTATCAAACCAGTAAAACAGGCTGTGACTATAGAAGATTAAATATTAGATATTTGTGCTGAAGTTGCAGGGGGAGGCAACTTCACGGGGTGAGTGACATCACTCCCTGGAATAGAAGACACTATATCTTGGGAAGGAAAGCAACACAAATGATACCTTTAACAACATAAACTGGTACAAGCGAATGAGACTGGTTTGGATCTCCTGAGCCATTATAGAAAGGCTGAGTGACATCACCCAGAAAAAATTTGCTGCATCTCGGGAAGGAGAGCAGAACAAACGCTACTTTTGCACAAACATGGCAAAGCAAATACATTGACTGTCATTATGCTTTTTGCAGGGGTACTAACTTTACAGAGCTTAATATTTTTAGTCTTCCTCTACATGCATTTAGATATAAATTTGCATTTAAACACTGCGTTTCTGGGTGTATTTTAGTTGATACAAGCTACAAGACGTAAAAAGCTGTGACAGCCCTAATTTAAATGTCAGGCCTCAGATGGCCTGTACTGTTGTCAAAGTTAATTGTTAATTGTGTCTGTGCTCTGTGTATATGGATGCTATCCTGGCCACAACAGCACAGTAAGACAGTAAATCTAAGCTTGACCTGCTTGTTATTGTTGGGTGCCCTGGGTTTGTCAGACGTGTTTCAACCAGACCTGGTTATTAATCAAACCTGACTCCTTTTATTGATCAAGCCTCAAACTGTCTGCTCTGAAGCTAGCCTGTTTATATATTGCTGTTTAATTTGCAGCCACCCTGCGTGCACTCTATCTCAGTGACAACGACTTTGAAATCCTACCTCCAGATATCGGGAAGCTCACGAAGCTGCAGATAGTGAGTAATTTATCTAAATTCCTAAAAAATCAATTCACTTTTTTCTTATTTGCCAGACTTTTACAGGCCTTGCATCAAGTCAATTGAAAAGGGATTTTGGTTTAGTTCACTGCTTTAAAAAAGAAGGTAGCTCCTGGTGCTTAATTTAAGATTTGTTGAGAATCGAAGAGTGGTGATACGTACTTATGTACAAAATCTCTCGATTTCAGAGCATTGTCTAAATTTTGTATATTGATACCATTCCATGCCAGTCTCATCAGTCTCATCCTTACTCCCTGGGTATCTTACTGATGTTTCCAGCTATACCGGTTAACGAACTTTGTTTTAAATTCTTATTGCAGTTTTGCGTGTTTCCCATGGTTTTAGCCCACTAGGGCCGTGATACAGCAACCTTTTTTCATGGTTTAGTCCATGATTTCCTGTGCATTAATGTACTACTGTATATTGTGAACACCACATCTAGCACTGATAAGGGTACCATTTATTTTGTTTGGACCTGTGCCAGTTTGATGTCTTTTGTTCCATGTGTGCTTTTCTGTACATAAATTAAAAGGGATCCTCTTTCCAGCTCAGCCTTAGGGATAATGACCTGATTTCCCTGCCCAAGGAGATTGGGGAACTGACTCAGCTCAAGGAGCTCCACATTCAAGGCAACCGACTCACTGTTCTCCCCCCCGAACTGGGTAAGTGTTCTGTAGAACTTAAAACATTTGGCACCTTGCTATAAAGACTTGGACTAACTGTGTCACAATTTTATCGCCTAAAAGTAAATCCAGAGCAAAGATTTACCTCTTAAACTGCTAGCACCTGGCCAGGTATTTTACAGTAGGAAAAATGATGTGAAAAATGTGTAGAGATAATCCAATGTTGATAACTGTGCATTCTATGGTCCCTGGGAGCCTGGATAATAAAGGACCCTGATAAATGTCTTGAGAGTGCTCGTGTGTGCAGAACTGGTGCTGCCATCCCCCTCCCCCCATAGTGATCTCTTGCAGAATTGGAGCAAGCACCCCCCTTGAATTGGAGACATTAGGAACCAGGGCTCTGCACAGCAGTGCAGTTCAGGCTGAATGATTATTTCAAAACACTTATTCAAATTCTGATGTAGGGGAAGAAGCAGCTCTTTTTTCATGTTTGTTATGTATTTCTGCTCAGAGCCCACAGCTTGAGATGGAGAATGGTTAGTGCTAGGTTTACTTTTTTTTAAAGTCAACATTGTAGTGGAGGGGGCAGCATATTGAGGGCAAGTCTCTGGGCTGCTTACTGGCAGGTTGTGGGTTCAAGTCTCCACTGTTTTTGTACCCATGAGCTAGGTACTGTAACCCAGCTGCTCCAGTCCACCCGGCTATATAAGTAGGGAGTAGTCCCTGCTATGGACCAGTGTCCTATCCGAAGAAATTAGTTGTGCTCTACAATCCTCTTAATTCCATGATAAGTAGTATGGACTCTAGCCTGATGAGATACTGTATACGCTGCTATGGACTTTATTTTAAACACTGTGGTAAAGGGGTTTTGTTAAAATAACTACTCAGGGGCCATATTCAATGGGTGTGAATGAAGGCATGTAGTCAGCCATACATTTTTTTCGTTTTGACCCTCATGATGGAGAAATTGTAATGGCTTTATATAAGTACTGAATGTTGAATTAGTTCAGATTGTAGATGACAAGTATATCTGTGTGAATAATCCCATTGAACAATCAATAATAAATTAAAATGAAGGTATTGAAAAAGGTTTAGTATGCAAATAATTGTTTATCGTGAATCAAAAAGCCGCTATATCATTTAAAGTAAACTCATAAAAAACATTTTTCATGTAACGGTTTGACTTTGGACTTTGGATGTCAATATACTGTGGCCGATTTGTAGCAGGAAGATTCAAAATTGTCTATTGTTTTTCTTCTTAGATTGTGTTAGATCCACCTCTTGTGCATCACAACCACAAGATACCATAAAAGATCCCATTGTCCAAAGAACACAAATATGAGGCACATAATACAGCATACTTACAGGTCCCTGGCAAGTCACAGGACACCAGCTCAAACCCATCCAGGACTTCGTCTTGTATTCTGTTTGAACAGCTTTCACTTGTTATTATACATGTTTTAAACATTGAATCTTTAAAGTGCATGTCAGATTTATTACCTGTCCCAACTTTCTTAAGCAGCAGCAGTGGAACAGTGCGCAGAGTCCGCTTTAGTCTTTTTTTCTTCACTTGTTCTTCATTAGTTTCGACAGATTCAAATCGAATCCAGTGAACTTCAGTGAGGAAAGGTGGCACAGAAGCCCTGTGAGCGTACAGTTGCAGACATAGGTATTAACATCCTTTCTCTTAAAGTAATAACTTAAAAGGAACGCCTACAGTACTGCTTTTTACAATGAAATGGACTGGCAGTAAATATATTGATGAACAAAATGTATAGTGTTGCAAATGGGGGGGGGGGGATTTACGAAAATGGTGAAAATCCTGAAATGAACAAGCATTTCAGTAATTAATCATATTCAGAATATTTCTCCAGAATACCAACCCGAGCAGTTTTTAGAATTATAGGCACGTGAATTCTTTATTTTCTGTCACAGCTTTGGTGAGAAGAGTGATAATACAGACACATTTCGTTAAACAAGTATTTATTAGCAAAGACAAGACAAACACTGTGCTACAGACAACAAAACAAAGATAACACAAGTAAACACAAAATGCAGTTTTTAAATTAAGGTTTTTATTATTATGGGAAAAAAAAATCCAAACCTACATGGCCCTGTGTGAAAAAGTGATTGCCCCCTAAAACTTATAACTGGTTGGGCCACCCTTAGCAGCAACAACTGCAATCAAGCGTTTGCGATAACTGGCAATGAGTCTTTTTCAGCGCTGTGGAGGAATTTTGGCCCATTCATCTTTGCAGCAGGAAGATTCAAAATTGTCTATTGTTTTTCTTCAATTCAGCCAATTCAGCCACATTGGAGGGTTTTTGAGCCTTAACCGCTTTTTTAAGGTCATGCCACAGCATCTCAATCGGATTCAGGTCAGGACTTTGACTAGGCCACTCCAAAGTCTTCATTTTGTTTTTCTTAAGAGGTGGACTTGCTGGTGTGTTTTGGATAATTGTCCTGCT